AAAGAGAACAATTGACTTTTTTTGGCCGTCCACCCGAAAAAAGACGAAACTTACACCTCACTCACACGTAGCCTCGTGAACCTCAAGCAACCATTTACCGACTCTCGCGCCTTGTCTTGATCCTTCTACTTTTTTCTTCATCATATCGATCTATGCATCGTTTTTCGTTTATATTTTCATCACCCAATTGCGAATATTCCAAGCTGGAAACCAAGGAAGTAACCGCCGCCTCCATGTGATTCACCCTCTTTTTCTGCTCACACCCCCTTTTTCTCGCTTTCCTTTTTTTTTTCTTTTTCTTTCTTTTCTTTTTTTTTTTTTCTTCTGTTGAATGTGACAAAGCTGGAAACGAGATCTCAAGCGTCTATGTCCCAATCGACCTCTCATGACGATCATTCGCCCAGTCTCGAAGCTGTCATTCAGCAGTATGGTGACAATGCTGAATTACTGCAGCTAATCCTTTCCAGCAAAGTCCAAGAGGACCGGAGACGAACGGAAGAAGCAAGACTGCGAGCTAAAGAAATCGATTTGCGCCTGCAACAGCAACAAGAAGCCACTTCCGAAGCCAGCTCACCACCTGCCTCCTCACGTCCCAGCCCTCCTGCCCTTCCAGCCTACACTGCCAGCCTGCCTCTGCTTTCCACTACGGATGCCCCGACCACCTTGCCACCTCACAGCCTACCTTCCATCCATACTACCGGCTCCGCCCCTGTTGGAAACGTCTCCTTGCTAACGCTACCGCCCATTCATACACTTGGTCACGGCCTGGAGCCTAGGCCAGACGCCCCGCCTTTCACCCCTCTACCGCCCTTGACCAATCATGACCTCATGAACAGAAACACAACTGGTCCTTCCATGATCCTACCCAGGCCCTCCGATCCACCCAGATGGTAGGAAAAAATCAAGTGGAGAAAAAAAACCCCCGGGGATTCACGCTCCTCTTCCTTCCGTTGCTTTGGATTAGCCCGTCGGAAGCCGAGACCGCCATGACAAGGGCCCTTACAAGCGAAAGCCCAGGACCATTGCCCAAATTCATCTCCGAGGCCATCCCTGGATGTGTCAACAAGCTGCCATTGACTCCATCCTACAATACCTTACCAACCAGCAAACGGCGACGGCGAGAAATGCAGTCCATCAGCATGATTATCGAAACCAAGGAGCACCCTTACGAAGACGGTTATAGCTGGAAAAACAATGGCAACACTATCCATAAGAACACCGGCCAACGCAGTATCTACTACAAATGCTCAAACGGCAACAGGGTAAAGAAAAACAGAAGGCCATCAATCCAGGCTCTCATTTTTTTGGATTCTAGGGCTGCCCTGTCAACAAGACTGTGACCTTTAGAGACAATGGTGAATATCTCATCAAATATCGTGGCAAGCATCTGGACTGCTGTGCCTTGGAAATGAACAACCAATGACTCTCCATTTTTTTTTCCGGCCATCCCTCATTATGTTTCAAATCGCATTTTCACTTTGTAATATACAATACTCTATTTTTTTTTTTTTACCTAAAAGCTGCCACACACCTATCCAACAAAACATAAGCCTCATATGAAAAAAATCGCCAAAAGGGGCCACTGCAGATGCTTGTCTTATTTTTTTACGTAATCAGTAAGCCTTGTGAAAAAAAATCGGCGATCCAAGTACTCTGCAACTTCGCACTCCCCTGGGCAACTGTCCTAGAAAAAGGACTGCCATAACCCGTGCGCTCGGTCAGATCAGGCACGACTGCATGTCATTGGAAAAATAAGCAAAATAATGAGCTGGCCTGCATGGGCCAGTGGATTCCTCTGGTCAGATAAAAATAGGGCTTCGGCTTTTTTTTTTTTTTTTTGACCACTAGGCCACCGTTGTGATTGACACTGTATGAAAAAAAAAAAAAAATGACGCTCAGCCATCCATGTCAGTACTCCTCGTCACGGGCACTAATGTAAGCTTTAATGGATTCAGTTGCATTGGCTTCAGCATCGTTTTGACCCCTCCCAAAAAAAAAAAAAAAAAAAAAAAAAAAGCCGTATAAAACACGATTTTAGGATAGGAGGCTTATTTTCTGAAATCAGAATGATTCTGGGAAGAGAGAGATGGCATTGGAGAAGTAAAAGGGAGTCGGAAATTGAAACCCAAGAAATCATGAACGGGTAGAGAAGGCCGATGATGTGTGAAGTGTCATGACTGAGTGATTCCTTATCATTAAACCAGCACTGTATTTTTTTTTTTTTTTTTTTTTGCATTGACAGCTGCAGTTTGTCTCGCTCAGATCGGCAAGGCGTGCGGGTATGTCGGAGTTTATGAAAGGTCTTGTCCGGCGTGCTTGTCATCGGCCTTGACTGTAACTCTACATTAAGCCAACCTTGTCGAGCTTTTAACCATGAACATATCTCATCCTCTATTGCTACTGTTCAAATTTGGGACCAATAAGTAGTGACTGTCCTTCCAACCAGCCACCAGGTTAGAGTTTGACCACAACCCCTCTCCAAAAAAAAAAAGTGCACTGGCACTAAGAAAAGACCAGCCAAACCAGCGATTTCATTGCGCGTTCATTGTTTTTATCTATGGGTAACATGTACCAAGAATTCGTCAGTACGTTATAGAAGCACTACAACTCATCCGCTGGGGCATGCACCAGTATTCAAGGCTAATATACGAGCACGCCAAATCCAACCAGCCCCGCTTGAACCCAAATTTTGCAGTTCCACCGATTCAATCCAACCTTTGCTAGCCCATACTGTACCTCCAGCGGAGAAAGTCAATCTTTATCAATTGCTCAAGCCTGCTGAACAAGGTCTTTCTTTTTCTATGCAGAGCTAACCTAGAGCCTTTGCTGCTGGTGCTTAGTGCTTTCAGCCTTGCATTGATTGCCCCTATCCCCAAGGTAAATGCGTTCCAGTTGCCCATCTCTTGCAAACGTTTGCTAAAAATTATGGTGACCATAATTTAGTGTTGGATGCTTCAGATGTGGTACCTGTAGCAAAGGCACATAGCTGGATTATGACAATGCCGTTACCATTCCGTAACACGACAGTTGTATGTTTCCTATCTAGAAAGGGTATTCTAAATAAAAGCTCTTGGAGTGTTGGATGTCCAGCAAAAAAAAAAATTATCAGTAACCTACTTTGGAATCATTGCAGAGATTTGTTATTCAAAGACATTCATAAACCAACAAACAAGCTTCAATTAAAAAAGCATGGTAGAAGTAAATGAATGGCGCTGTGCGATTGAGCACAAAAAGACGATGTGAAGCTACAGTAAAAAGAAAGTAAAAGGTGGCAAGCAAAAAAAAAAAAAAAAAGGCGCCGTGCGGGCGCTGAACATGGCCATCCAAATTCTCTTTTCTTCATTTTGAAAAAAAAAAAGCATATGCTGCACAGCACTTTTGGGTGATCCAATCGATGTATAGTTTTGCACAAAGGCGCAAATACATGAATGATGGTGCTGTTGAAAAAGTCAGGTCGATTGGTGAAGGCTACCTAGCTAACTTTAATCTGTTTGGTTTTGACACCCCCGATCCCTCCGCTGGGAAAAATCGAAAAATCGGCAACAGTACTACATGCTCTTGTCTTTCCGGAGTTTAGAATCGAGCTTCCCTGGATTATGCTTTTCCAAAAATATAAATTGAAAAATGCGCCATCTTCAAGTAACTGTCAATGCGATATGAAGAATACCGGTACCTTACATATCCATAAAATAGTCATTGCGAGGGGGTCTGATCACATGTTTCCTGAATGCGGCTGCAACGACACCCTATAACTTTGGTGAGACTGTCAATCCAGTAAAAATCGTCACTAAACTCCGGAATGGCTGTATATAGCAGTACCCTTCCATTTTTAGATGAAGTGATTCTTGTTCTCTTTTTTTTTACTCTCACTCTGTCACTTACTCTCTCTCTTTCTCTCTCTCTCTCTCTACTGCATTCCCTCTCAGCCCAATTATCCGTAATCAATCTCACTCCATGTTCAATTCTCTTTCAGGTCGTTTGTGTACTCAAGTTACCATAACTAATTCCTAACCCCACCTTTATCCTAGTCACACATATGAAATAAAGAATAAAAAGACAATTGCTTTGTTGCATCCTCTTGGAACCAACCAAATGCTTCTATATTCTTTCTCATGCTCACCATGCTCTTCAGCGACTATCAGATCATTACATATAAGACAGAAAGTATAACAGAGAATTCCGAGTTCTTGCCACAGAAAAAAAATGGAGAACCAAGAAAAGAAAAAAAAACTGCCTGCATAAAATTTTGGCGCGGGTTTTTAAACTTCTTGACCTTTTAGTTTTCAGTAAAACAATAAAATAAAGTTAGTATGTGCAAAGCGGTCTAGTGGACTTAAACAAGAATGAGAGAGACTAGGAAAAAAAACAGTTTCAAACCTGGATTTTTTAAGGTTTTTTTTTAGGATATCAGGTTTACCGTAGGTTTGAGGTTTGAGGTTTGAGGTTTGAGGTTTGAGGTTTGAGGTTTGAGGTTTGAGGTTTGAGGTTTGAGGTTTGAGGTTTGGGGTTTGGGGTTTACTGCAACTTCATCACCCCTGTTCACTTGTTCATCAGCTGTTGACCATCTTGGGCACTCCCGCATGAGAAGGACCGTGCAATGAGACAACACTCGGCAAAAAAACTGCGCAAAAATTTTCGTGATTTTTTTGTGTAACGTCAATAAAGTTACATAACACAAATCTCAGATAGTATAGTGGTGAGTATCCCCGCCTGTCACGCGGGAGACCGGGGTTCAATTCCCCGTCTGAGAGCTTTTCTTTTTTTTTGCTTTGTGCTTCAAAAGGGAGTGCACTTTTTTTTGCAACTTGTAAACTGCAGTACCATTTACTTCTACCAAATTGCTCTTTTGCGAATTTTCATCGATTGCGATTGCTTTTTAGATGCAATGTATAAACGATGTTGCCAAATGCAGTAATAAGCCGACCGGCTAATAGTCGGCCCGAATGAAAATCGCTCCTGCTCATCTTGTGTATGTGCAGGTAGTTTCTAAACCTTAGTAGGCCCGCGTGGCGAAATTGGATATCGCTTCGGACTTCTAATCCGAGGATTGCGGGTTCGAGCCCCGCCGTGGGTAATGTTTTGCTTGACCCTGACGCTCTTGTGATTTTTGTCTTTTTTTTTTGTTGCCGTTTAAGAACTGATAGCTGTACATCTGTTTTTAAATACTATGTGGCTGACGTGTCGAATTTAGCCCTACTGTGGGCAATCGACAGTCCAGGCACAAGCCTGCAGTAAAAAAAAAAAAAGTGGAATGGCAAATTAGGTTGCTTTTATTACTTCAGGGATCTGCTGAACACCACTTATTTTTTTTTTCTATGGACCTGTGTTCTCAACGCCATACTTACCTTGTTCTTGCCTCGATGCCCCCCCGCTTTAGCAAAAAAAAATAAATAGAAAGCAGCTGAGCCAACCAGAAATCAACGGCTATCCGGCGGCCGTTTCGGCCCGAATTGCCGATATTTTCAGCATAATTATGTCTGCACTTTATCGTTCAACAAGCTTTGGTAGCTCAGCTGGGAGAGCGTCAGACTGAAGATCTGAAGGTCATGGGTTCAAGCCCCATTCGAAGCATTTCTTTTTTGTTTTTGTTCTCTTTGAATTGATCCCCTTTTTTTTTTTTTTTGAAGAAATGTTCCTATAGTATGGATGCATCTATTTTTTTTAAGCAGTGAACAATAAAATAATGTAATGGTATGTGCAGTTACCTCGTTGCCTTTTTTGTATTTTTTTTCTTCTTGCCACGCTGTTCCTATCCTACTTGCTGGAACTTCCAGAAGAGTTAGGCAACCCGTCAGCGTGTCTGCCTGCACCTGCATACCTTTGAAGAAATAAAAAAGCGTTAGAGGCACGGCAAGAGAAAAAAAAAAAAAAAGGCAGGTGATGGGAAAAGCGTCCCTCAAACTGTAATCGAAGCAAGATGTGTCGGGCTGTGAATCCCGGTTTCCTTTTTTGTAGCATAGGGACCACAGGTGTCAAAAATAAACTGGCGTCCGTTTGAATGGGTAGCCTTCTCCAATCGGGTGGATTTTTCCAGGATCATAGTGATTCATAGGCGATGGTACCATGTAGAATTTTCACTTTGATTCGGCTGCTCAAAAGGGTCGTGAGGTTTTTTTTTTTTTTCCCGGTCGGACGTTGCTACGGGTGGAATTGGCAAAGAAGAGTGAAACTCTGACATCCACTTGTGCAGCTCAGATATTATTTACAACTAGAACATGGTGAAATGTGACTATGATAAAAACTACAGGCTTTCCGATGACTTGATATAGACCTAGAGCCATACTAAACCTTGAGTTGCACCAAGGTACTGTAGGCTGCACGTCTGAAGCTCTGAACCAAGCATTTTCTCAAAAAACTCAATGAGGACGATAAAAAAACCCACAGAAACCCCAAACTATTCAGTGCAACAGATTACGTCGAGCAGTGATATGGCTTACAAAGGCACGCCAACCACAGATATTGCGGCGAGAAATGTCATTATACAAAATTGCCAGCTGGCCAGGCTCATGCGACCAAAGCCACGCAGGAATTAGCCTCACGCCAATTGACTTCACGCTTCGCGGGAAATCAACACTGCAGATCAGTAAACTAATGGCCAAGCCTGGGGTGAAATGTATTTTTTTATGCAAAACGAGAAAAAAAAAAGGGGGCGGATGTAGCCCAAGGAGCGCTGTCATTGGACGAGACAGGAAAAAACTTTCAAGTTGGGGAAGCTAGAATTGGAGTCAGTCACTTTTTTTTTTTCCTTTCTTTTTCTTCTTCCAATCACCTGGATTCCATGCTGTCAAAATCAGAACTTTTGAATACAGTGATTGGTCTCTACTTGAGCAATGAAGCTGTAGTACAAAGCCAGCTGCCACTGATCCTGGAAGCTCTGACCACCCGCCGCTTGCTGACTGACGATCAAACTTTGGACGATCATGATCACACCATGCGACGAAAATGGACTGTGCGATTGAACTCTCTGATCCAATCTAAGCGTACGGAAACTCGATGGGCTGCTATCATGCTGATCAAGAGCACATGTGAACAATCCCCCAGCTTGTTATTCTCAAACATCAAAACTTGGATCAACCAACTTCTGGGCATAGTTGCTGTAAGTGAATGGAGACAGTAGCTATTGGCCAGATCAAGGCTGAAGGTTGTAGATATCTCTTATATATATTGCATGTAGAAACCCGAGAGCGACATGGTCCACAAGGCTGCCATTAACACATTGTCCTACCTCTTCAAGTATACGCACAACATGCCCGAGTTACAACGCGAGATCACCCAACCCAACCTGCCACGATTCAACCATCACCTATTGGGGTTGGCTCATCGCCCTGGTGTTTTTGTAATCAACTTTTTTTTTTTTTTTTTTTCTTTCCCAGGAGGCAACCATCTCACCTTCTCTCTCTCTCTTTTTTTTTTATTAGTGCACGGCCATCGATGCACTTACGACCAACATGATCACGTTTCCCACACTTTCTCGAAGTGCAGGCGACAACATTCAAAAGCTGTGTCTGAGCCAATTGGATGGTGTCCAAGATTTGGACGCGCCTACTCTCGAAAAAGTCAGCGCATGTTTGGTTGCCATCCATCACACCACCAACCGCGTCAGCTCAGCACAGCACTGGCGTGACACGGTGCTAAAATTGATTGGGTCGTATCATCAAGCTTTGGATATATTGTTTGACACCGTGGATGAAGGTAGCGGCAAAGAGGGTTTCTATATCACCGTTGCTCACTCTTTTTTATATTTTATATTTATTTATTATTTTTTTTTTTTTTTTTGCAGAGTGGGCAAACGAGGATGAGCTGATCGCATATGATTTTGTCCGACCATCTGTTGACCCTCTCGAAGCCTTTCCAATTCTCTTGCGACGAATCGAAGCCTTACAAATCTGTCTCTCCACAGCATTGGGGTAAGTAAAAAAAAAAAAAAAGCTGCAGCTTTTATTTACTCGTGACTGGGTTGACTGTAGGACGTCATCGCTTGTGACAGTGTCTGTGCCAGTAGGCAAGTTAGTGAACTTGGTGTGTCGTGCGTTCAGCATGTTTGAGGGGTCCCTCGTAAGTCCCACCGTCCCATATCAAAACAACGTCACTCACTGGTTTATTATTATCTGCGCGCCTGTTTAGATGAATGAATTCAAAGACAAAAAAACGTTTTCAGCATTGATCTTGTGCTTACCAAACATTCACCAAACCACCTGCAGACTTTTGACGTCGTTGCTCATTAGGTAATGCAAGCCCTTTGTTTCGGCGGGTTGAGACTGACCCCTCATTTTTAAAAATCATAATTTCAGCTCTGGCATTCACATGGCGTCTTGTTCTGATCTCCTGTGTCGTCTCTCTGTGCGTTTACTAGACGAGTACAAAAAGCAAAAGTAATGGGAAAGAGTATGCAGACAGGAACAGGCCGGGTTGTTAATGCGTCGTTTTTGCCTCGAAACTAGATCGCTCAAGGTGAATGTGTATCGATTGATTACCTTGTGCATGGAACGGTTTGGGTTTGTATTTGCCCAAGAGATCGAAAAGCCTCTTGTGGCCAGCATTCTCGAAGACATCAAGGTGCAAACCATCAAAATGGCAGCAGTTGCAACCAATGAATCCAAGGTAAAGGAGATCAGAGAGGGGTTGGTGGCAAAGCGCGCTAAACCCCGTTTTTTTTTTTTTTTTTTTTTTTTTTTTTTTTTCAATGGCTCAGGATGCGAAGAAGAAACGGAAGCGAAATGACTTGACACATTCTGATACCATGGCTGTGCAACGGCTAGTGGAGGAGCCACATGAGATTCAGATCGGTGCTCTGAAAGCGTTGGAAAAATTGCTGGCCTGCCACGGATCATCTATGGATCTCAACCGCCGCAATGCTCTCGACAGCCAAGTCATCAGCCGCCTGTTGCAGATTACACAAAAGCCATTTGAACAATCTCTCGACACCGACCAGTTAATCAAGGAGCATCTGTACCCATGTTTGATAGCCTCTGTCACATCCCCCATGCAAGTCCAAGCCAGCATTCTGCCATTTGCCGTGCGACTGTTCTCAGCTGGGCTCAATGAACAGAATCTCAAGGTAAAAAGAATGCGTTTTGCATGGAAACCAATGACTGATCCACTTTTTTTAACTAGTTGCAAATGCTCTGTAGACAGGGGGTCACGATCTGTGAACTCATCACACATCCTCGCATGCCTCCATTGCAGATGGGCACAGGCTTGATTACGCAAAAGTTGATGGAAGTCAAGGATCGAGAAGCACAAGATGAACAGCGGGCTGCCAAGCAGGCGTCGATGGCTTCTGAACGAGATTATTTGACAAAGAGCACAGTGGCTGATATATCGGTGAGCGACCACGACCACAGCAAAAAGGCACGCATGGACAGCGACCCAGTATCTAGGATCGCCATACCAACGCCAACAATCTCGCCTCTTGCTACGGATATTCAGCTGGGTACCGAGGAAAAGGATGATCGCGCCGATGAGTCGATGAAGGAAGTCAGTGAGCCAGTCTCGACGCCACTTATTGGAAAAGTCATCCCCAACGCATCAACAACCGTTGTTGAACCAACCGGCTTTGCAGCCACCAAACCCGATACCACTCCCATCGCCTCTGTGCCCAAGAAGGAACCCAGCATGGCTGCCCCCGCTCCTCCAGCGCCAGCGCCAGCCGCCCGTCCTGCCGCTGCAGTCGAAACATTCGAGGCCCCCCAAGGTGACTCTGGCGACGAGTTTGAAATGGAGGACTTTGTGATGGATGGACCTGATTCAGACGAAGAATAGAGCGCACACGTTATACTTGGCATTAAAAAAAAAAAAAAAAGATGATAACCCTTTGATTTGCATTTTCTTGATTTTTCGACCACGTCGGTGATCCAATGGAGAGCAAGGAAAAAACAAGACGGAGAAGCGCCACTCTTTCTTAGAATTAAAATAAAGAGGCAGATGGGGCAAACAAATAAAGAGAAACATGTATTTTCCGCAGGACAATCAATGTTAGTTGAAAGAAAGGATGGCCATGTTTGTTCAGTTTCCTTCGTTTCTAATCCCGCCCATCGAACAATCAATGTGTTTGTGTCAAAAGAGTTGAGACCC